AAAAAAAAAAAAAAAAACTTAAGAAGCTTTTTGAGATTACTGAATGTTTTCTTAGATAAATCAAAATTGAAGAGACTATTGAAAGTTTTATTGTTATTGAAAGATAGAATAGAAAAATTAGAAACCATTTTGGATATTAACCAATTAAAGTTAACAAATTTAATAACTTATTTAACTGACCTAACAGTTTTTGTCTAATTAGGACTTTATTTAAGAAATTCAAGGATTTATTGATTTCATTTGAGTGCAGTAAAATTTTTAGACATCAACAGTGAATTTGGTAAAGGTTGGGGACCTTATTCAATGCTTCAGCCATGATTTTTTGACGCAAAGGTTGATGCTTAAATCAAGCTACATTCTTTCTTAATTAAAGGAGTGGAGAGGCTTGATTCATGCAAATTTTACTTTTATTTTTGCTAAGATATCTTGCAAGATCTGTGCTACGTGTAATTTGCTGGATTTGTCATTGACAGAAGGCCATTGATCCACTCAAATAAGAACAGTGACTTACCCAAGGGAATAAAAGCAATCCTTTCATCTTTTTGTTTCTTTTTTTTTTTTTTCGAATTTTCATTAATTATAAGCAATGGAATCAAAATTAATTTTGTTATCTAAACTACCCCTTTTATTTCAAAATCTAAAAGTTTCTAGGATGCTGAATACAGATTATAAAAGTTAATTAATAGTTTTATAAGTTTGTTTAAGATGTATCTTAAGAGTATTATAAATATATATTTTATATAGTAATTTACATAAAAAATAAAAAAAATTAATATTAATTTTAACACCCATGACATCATCATGTGCTTAACTAGATAATCGGTAAAATTAATGTCAATTTTTACTATTTTTATATATATTAATAATAAAAAATATAATAAATATACTTTAAATCTATGCTTAAAGGACACAAGTTAAAATAATTATAGTTTTAATTAAAGTAATATAAAAGATTGTAATTTCTAAATCACCCATTTTAAAATAAGTTTGTCTAACCTATCTTTAAGTGTGCAATTATTACACAATTTTTACATTAATTAGGATTGAAAACTAAAAAAATTATCATTAATTTCATCATCAGATCTACATGTATAATTTTAACTAAATAGTTACTTAAATAAAGATAAATTTTTATTTTTTTAATACTTATTAATATTAAAAAATATAATAATTACATCCTTAAAAGACAAATTAAAAAGATCTTTTAAAATTTACAATATACTCTGTTTTAAGCAATATTCTCTCGACATTTAATGACTAATGAGAGCAAAGTTGAAAAAGAGGAATTAATTATAAGATTTTTCTAACTGTCTCCTTATAACACAGATGAAGAGTATTTTTTTTTTTATTATAAATGTATATAAAAAATTATAAAAGCTTATATTAGTTTTAGTGTTAGTGTTAAGTGAGTAAATTTAATTAGACAGTTGATAAATTAAATATTAATTTTTATATTTTCAATACAACTTTATAACAAAAAGATATATTTAATATATTTTTAATCTATGCACTTAAGGCACAATTAGACAAACCCTTAATTATATATAGATTTTCCCAAAACCTGTCAAATAAATTGAAACAAAAATTTTTCTCTCAAATGTCATTTATTTTAGGATTTGTCAAAAATAAAAGTTAAGTCTCATTAATTATAATATTTGTAATTATTTTATATAAAATTTTATACAAAATTTGTATATTTTTATAAATTTTGAGTATATATATTATATTTTAATTTATAATTTATATTTTATTTTAATTGAATTTAGTATGAAAATTTATATAAAATTAATTATAAATACTATAATTAATAAAAATTTAGTACACATGTTAAAAAAATTTCCTTTATTTTAAAAGCAGAGGGAGTAGCATTATGGAATTCAAGTTTCCATCAAACTTTATTAATCAAACAAACGGGTCTAGAAACTTAAAACTGAACACTCAATCATGAAACATATCCTCGCAAGTCTCTTGGATTATCAAATCACCAATGGGGCAATCGATAAAGACATGGAATACACTTTTTTTTCCTCAGTGGGTTTTTTTTAGGTAAGCTCATATATATTATACCTTTAATGAGAAGTTATAACGATACTTTAAACCTAAGTAACCACTTGATTTTCTTCATGTAATTAAGGTTCTTTGCTTTCTTTTGTTTATCATCATCATGACACTTAATTTTGAGAGGAATCACTCATAATTTAGCTTAAATACCCCCCTCTAATTAAATGATTATAAGCAAAAGCTCTAATAACCCCATAAATCAACTTCATTAAAATTTCCTATCTTTATTATAACACCTTTACTCAAAACTCACGTTATTAAAGTACGGAAGAAATATTAAGTATACAAATTAACTTGCCTTCCTTCAGTGTTTTAACACAATAAGCACGAAGCACAAATAAGACATTTATGACATTTACGACCTTACAAAGTTCCAACTCATCAGTAATTAAACAGAGAAGACGTCTTGGCTTTGATATATGGCTTTAAACCGAAGCAATCTCATTAATTCTCCCAGCTCTGCTGTTTAAGGTACAATATTCTCCAACAGAATGGTCAAGCACTTGACAGTAATTGTTTCTGGGCCATTTAAAACATGACCACATAAACAGAAATACAGAAGTTTTGCTAACACCTGTTGCTATGATTGTTACTGGAACTTCCTTTAAACCTACACTTGTTCAATAAATTAAAAGCAAGTTTGTGAACGTGAACAGCAAGACACGTTTCAGCAACAAAAACAATTTCAAGAAGATTAATTTCCTTAATTATTGGGTTTTGAGTGTAATTTTCATTCTCATGATTGGATTTAGTAAGGAATGTTTCTGTTTTTGGGTTTTTCATTTTTAGACTCAAATCAAATATAAGTTTTGAACCACAAAAAGAAAAAGGTGCGTATTTTAATTTTCAACGTTAATAGTACATGATTAGATAAAGCATGCCAATTAGGATTGCCGGAGACCAACAAGAAGACTACTTAAAATATCTGAAAACCTTTTCTTTCAAAAGTTGAAGCCTTTTTCTTTGTGTTCATGCCTTTGCCTGTTCATTTCAAAAGGCAAATCTCTGCTATATATATATTGTCGGTATACGAATCTGGATTAGATTCTGTATGCTTAATTTCGTGCAGAGAGAAGAACAATGAAAGAAAATATCATTTTCATTGTTCAGACTACTATAATTTGATGAACGCTACACAAAAAAAGAAAATAGAAGACAATATCAAAACAGAAAAAGGGAAAAGGCAAACATTAATCTGTAGTCATATTTTAGACCAAAAACCAAAATTTTGCCAGGAGAAATTTTACGTGGATTGTGATAGGTTAGATTCATTTAGAAAATATGGCGTTGACGTTAGACCATTAGTTTCAAAAGAAGCGGCACCCTCTTTTCTACTATCACGTTCACCTCATTTTACCAGCCACAACAGCACTAGGTAGCTTCTTGGTTGACTCCGAACAGCACCTTCTGATCAGGTTCAATAAAAAATCACAAGTACAACAACGAAGCCTCCCTATATATTTCATATCATCGGCAAGCAATGAACGGAGAACTCAGATACATTTATAACATTGGTAATTGATGGAACAAAAGTGATAGGGTTTTATTTTGTTAAACTCGATGGTGCATACCTTTAATTGGATATAGAGGTTAAGATAAGGATCTGTAATTTGTACAACAATTATGCATGGTAGTGACTTTCTGAGCTTCCTATTTCTTTCAATCCGCATTGAAAGAAAGCACAAAACCACATGGATATATCCTTGCATATTGTATATGGGTTGGAATTAATAAAATTCATTGGTTGATTAAAAAAAAAAAAAAAAACAAGCATCCTTGCATTTGTTCTATTATAACCTGGATGCGATCTAGTTTAAATTTTTAAGAAGAATAAAAGATATTTATTTTCATAAATAAGGGTGTTTCTTATAAGTTAAGTTTATAATTCAAGTTTTGGAGTCAATGTTAAAGAAATGTTAATTTTTTTAATACAATGCATTGTACTTATAGAGCGAACCCTTAAAATTATTTGAGAAGTTATTAGTTTTGAAGAATGTAAAAGATGAATTAAAACACCTAACCTTTAAATCTTAAAAAAAAGAAAGGAAAAAGAATGTGAGAGTGGCCGAGAAGGCTCCAAACTCCAAAAGGCATTGGTTAATTTTAAAGGTCTATTATCACACTTGATGTCTAATGCCTCTCCTCTCTCCAATAATAGAGAGACCGGCCAGCCAAGCCAATTTCAAGCTTTTTGGAGGGACTTGCAGTTGCAATGCAGAGGGACCTGCAGGAGACCTTACAAAATCAGCATCTTAGGATATATATATACAATCTTCGATGGCCAAAAAAAAGATATATAATCTTATTTTTAAACTTCTGCCAGGTCTGCGCCCGCATATATAATTTATCGCGATCTAGTTAAACCTTCCTATTTACAAACATATTCTGGCCTAGGTAGATATTATAATACATCATCTTTTAAATTGTTTTTGATGTTAAACTGAAATTGAAAAACACTGGATGTGTTTCATTTAGTTTAAGCAAGGAAAAAGACAAACATGAAAATGCCACCATAACTACATAAGAATCATATACTTGCATTACCAACAAAAGTTTAGCCATATTGCTATTTATTGATATTAAAACTTTGATTTAAAGTCAAGGCCAAGAGTTCAAATAATCTGTAAAACAACCAACTCTTGTTATAAAAAATAATCATAATTACTTACACTATTACACCATTAATGAAGAAGATAATTAATAGGACGCTGATTCATTCACACCACAAATTTAATTCATTCAACTTTGTTCATTCTGGAAACTGTGAACAAACATTATTGGATCAACAGTTGTCATATTAAAACAAGAAGGAATATTACAAGATTGAAACTCTGAGAGATTTAGATATATGGGATGATAAGCTAATTAAATCTTTTTACCTGGTAATGAAAAGAAAAGACTCAACTCAAACCTTTCAGTTGAAATTCCTGTACTATCAACATCTTTTTGTGTGTATGAAATGAACAAAGAGAAAAATTAAAAAATGAAAAATTTGCACTTCATATCTGGTGGAAGACATCAAAACTTGCTCCTGTTAGATCTTCTGACAGTGATGTTAACGGAAAGCTACTGAATTCTACAGAATTCTGGGAGGGAAGATGATTAACAAGCTGCGCTTCTTGCCAGGTACTTGGTTTCATTTGATGAAACTGAAACATGGACTCCAACTTGTTCTCTGTGTCCCATGGGAAATTAACTGCTACATTTTCCACCATCTGAAACCCACCCGTGTAACTGCTGTTGCTGGAGGTCTCCTTAGCCTGATCATTCAGTACCAAAGAATTCATCCTTGAACCTGAATTGTCAGAAAACTCTGTTCCGGTTCCAGACATGTTTCCTTGATCAAAACTTGTTAGACTCGGCATTGAAGTGAAGCCAAGGTTGGAGTTGTTCTCATAATGATTCTGATATTGTGGTTCCAGATTAGCATGAAAATCAATGTAAGACAGAGGATCATAAACCTGTTGCTTTTCTGGTAATCCACAGCTGAAATAGCTCGAGTCAAGAAATGTTGGCTCGTGTGCTGAAGAAGAGAAGGTTTGCAGGGGTGCCTTGTTTTCTTCTTCGACGACTTGGGTTTCACTTAAGAGTTTGTGAGTAGTGGGATCAATGCCTTGTTTCATTAGCTTCTTCTTCAGACAGGAATTCCAGAAGTTTTTTATTTCATTGTCTGTTCTTCCTGGTAACTGTGCTGCAATTTGAGCCCACCTGCAAATTTTAATTTCCCACAAAAGTTAACTTTATTTCTTTTTCTATAAGATTTAGTTCTAAATGATTACACAAAATTAATTATATCATTGCCTGTTTCCAAGAACTTGATGAAGACTGATTATGAGATCCTCTTCTTCTTTTGCAAACATTCCCCTTTTAAGGTCGGGTCGCAAGTAGTTTATCCATCTCAGTCTGCAACTCTTTCCACACCTTTGCAGACCTACAAAATATAAACCAGAAGCTACTGAAACATAAGAAGAAGAGATGTAAATGCTTGATTTAATGAAATTTAGTCGTACCGGCTAGCTTGGGTACTGAACTCCAGCAACCGACGCCATATCTAGCTATGTAATTGAAGAGTTTCTCATCTTCTTCAGGAGACCACAAACCTTTCCTTAACTTCTGTTTCAGACAACAGGAATGACGTCCCATGTCAATGGCAGCAAGAAGAAGCTAGAAGAAGAAGAAGAAGAAGTAATCAAGTGACGAGAAAAAAGAAAAGAGGAGTTTTAGGTAGCTAGATGAATAATTCGGACATGGAATAGAAAGGTGTGGGTTTATATGTTTGTGTGATATGAATATATAATTTGTGATGATTTTAAAAGAACTAAATATATAATACTTAGAAATGAAGCTATAGAGAGAGAAGGTGAAGCAATCAAGTGGGTTTTACGCAAATCTGGTGCTGCTTTTGTGCAATGCCCTGGATTGGATTTTAAGATATCTCTAAATTAAGTGTAGACAAAATATAAAAAGGTGAATTGAACGAGCAAAACTCCATAAACGTGTATTTATATCAACCAACATACAGTTAAAAAAACTTTGTTCTTCCAAATATAATAATAATGTTGGCTTATTGCCCTGCCTTCATTTTCAACGTCTTGCCGTGAATTATCGATATATATCAATGTGTACCTATTATTAAATGAGTTTTGAACAGAGCCCTAAATAGCGTTAAACTTCAAAGGCCAACATACTTGATTGATAAGTTATAATTCAATTGCTTAATTAAATAAATAACTTTACTAACTGATTAATTAACACCCATTGTGGTAGAGTCACTAACTAATCTAAAATTTCTATTATACCAAGCAATACTATTAAATCAAAATCATATTAATTCAAAAAAGAAAAAGTGACATATTGTATGTGTATCATATAAGTTTTTTTTTTTTAATTCATTTATTCATTTTTTATTTTGTGTTACTTGGTTTAAGGTCACTTGACCCTTGACTTAAGATATGACCATTAGATCACATAAGTTGATTCCAAATTAATTACATTGGATGAAAACAAGAGTTCTTTTAATCATTAACTCAGGATACTTCCATCGGACATAAGCTTGACTTTTAATCATATGCAAAGGAGTTGTAGATGTTGAATTCGTGTTTTGATTACTTTGTTGTAAGAAATGCTGGATCTTCATTTCATGTACAAGTTCTTTGACTCAAGTATATAAGGATGCCGATTAGGTAAGTTGTAGTACAAGCAAACGTAGCATGAATCTGTACCATATGATTTAAAAGGGATTTTTGGCCACTTTCCTTGAGGGGAACCCACTCGGAAACATCATTGAGTTGAACCAACAATTTTGTAATGCCTAGGACCTTTATAGAGTCTTTTTGCTCTTTTTCCTTTTTCTTTCTAGAATGGTGTGTTGTGTTATTTTGCCTTGCTAGTCACTGTACCCCAGACCCAAATGCAACGCATGCTTCTAAAAATGTTGTCCTTAATTTAGGCTTTTCCTAGTGAATCATATGTAAGAAGATTATAAAGGCTGGCTGTGGCCGACACCAGGGTGTCCAGAAATAGTGGGGGGGTCCCTGCGGACCCTGCCCTTAATAAAGATAAGGGTTACCCTACCTTTGGTATTGTTTATAAAAGAAGATTTCACCACTGAAAATGAAAATTTTCTTTATTTTGGTCATTTCTTTTTTGCAGGGCTATGCAGGGAAACAATTTTGACAAAATAAGAAAAGTCTTTTTTCTATGAAAACTGACTAGCAAAGGCTTAGAAAATGATTGAACAATGATAAAACTTCATTTATTCTTCTATATTTTCTTGTGGGTATCTATTTTTAATTTTCTTTTTCTTTGTGAGGAAAATCTTTAGAGTCACTAGCTAAATTATGGCAAAAGGATGCTTTCTTACTCGTATAACTAGAGTTCAAAATGTCATTCTCTCCTCACCCCCTTTCCCCATGAGAATTTTAACAAGTTAGCCTATCGCATTAAAAAAAAAAAAAAATTCTTTTATTTTGTTTAATTTGCATTGTACTTTCATTTCTCTATTTTAAGCAGTCGAGCTATCTAGATATTTGTGATTTATCGTACTCATTAGTTGAGCATTTGGTCAATTTCAATAGCCAAATTCAATATTCACATTGGTATTAGAGTAGGCACAAAGCACAAGTGAGGAGTTAGCAGAGAAATGGGGTTCATGAAACAATGTTCCTTTAACATAGCGAATAATGTGAGGTACTATGCATAATGAGTAGAGTGAAGAGCAGCTATAACTAATTAATAACGTGAGCTGCATATGCTATGTCAAGGCATGTTGTGGAAAGAAAACTAGACTACCAACTAATTGCCAATAGCAAATAGGGTTGGAAAATGGAGGGTCATCCATAGGTATGAGTTTAATGTTAGATTCAAAAGGTGTAGAAGCACTTTTGCTATCATTGAGTTTAGCTTTAAAAACAAGATCGGAGGGATATTTTACTTAAGAGAAAAGGTAGCCATCATCTGAAGAAGTGACCTCAAGCCCTAGAAAATAGCTCAGACAACTTATGAAGGAAAGTATCTCAAAGTGAATCAAATCTCTACTTTGTATCTTTAGATTATCACAATCCTAGATTTACTAGAATCAATTGGTCATTAATATTGTATCAAATCTATATATTCCATTTCCTTTTGTATTGGGATTTTGATTGCAGAAACTTTGTACATATTGTAAATCTTTGTGTGAATAAAATATCACATTAAAAAATCAGAGCCTCTTATCTGATATTGGTATCAAAGCTTTACCACTCTCACAAGTTCCGATCATGGCCACTCACAATGACTCCCCAAATTTTGCTACCTCAAAAACCTCCGCAACCGCCGTTGTCACTATCCTCAATTCAGGCCCAACCAACAGCCCACTTTGCTTTAGCTCGACCACTTTTCCTATGAAACTAACTCCCACAAATTATTGATGTTGGAAGGTTCCATTTACCTCTTTACTTGCAAGTTATGAACTTGATGACTCCTTTGATGGTAGAAACCCATGTCTAATTGCAATAGCACCTGAATATAGCTTATGGGCACACCAAGATCAACTTTTGCACCATGCCCTCATCACCTCTGTCTTAGAGAATATTACCCTTTACATTGTTGTTGTTGCTACAACACAACAAGCTTGGGAAACATTAGCACAACTCTATGCTAATCGTTCTCGTACTTGGGTGATCACACTGAACGAGCAACTTCAAAACATGAAACATGCTTGGCGCTTCGTCTTGAAATATCTATGAGACCTGAAAACAATTGTTGATGAACTTGGAATCGTGGATCAACCATAACTGAGGATGATCTGACGATGTACATCCTCAACGACTTGGGACCAAAATTTAGAGAGATTGTTGCATCTTTTAGAGCTCATGATTCATGTCTTTGATTTGATGATTTGCATGATAGATTTGTTACTCATGAAGAGAGCCTTCATAAGGAAGCAAATCGAGTTAATTTAACTCTAGCAATTACACATTTTGTTCCTGCCCCAATGGCATCCAATTTTGGTATGCCTTCTTCCTCTTTTATGGGTATAGGCTTCTTACAAAATAGGAACTTTGGTTCTTTATAGCCACCAAACCGTGGAAACAAGGATGCCCAAAACTCCACCAATAGGAACAATGGAAATTGAAAATGTGGCTTTGGACCTAGATTCAATAACAGACCTAGTAACTCAGCTTGTCAACTCTGTAGCCACACTGTGCACTTTGCTAAACATTGCTTGAATTACCGTGTGCAAGTAGTAAGTCCAATGGCAAATGTTGCATCTTCATCGACAGCCTTTTTTGATGACTATCTTTTGGATTTTGGGGCTAACAATCATCTTTCTATTGACTTGGCCAACTTAGCACTTCATTTTGAATATAATGGACCTAATGAACTTAAAATTAGAGATGGTACAATTTTGAAAATCACTCATGTGGGACACTCCACACTATCTACTCCCACTTCTTCTTTACCTTTACGCAATGTTCTTTGTTTCCCTTTGCTTCACGATATTTAATTTTAGTTTCCCAATTATGCAAGACAACTAATGTTTTTGTGGAATTTGACTCTACTTTCTTTTTGGTAAAGGACTTATGCAAGGGGGAGACACTATTAAGACGACCCAACATTCATGTGACCCAACATTCATGTGACCTACCAAATCTCAAGAAGAATTAATCCGAGACCATAAGCACTAGTGGGAATGAGAATAACTATGATGAATTGGCATTCACACTTAGGTCATCCTTCAACGAAGATCCTAAAACAAATTATCAATGTTTTTCATTGACCATTATCGAATAAAATAAATTTTTCTTTATGTGATTCATGTGAATGTTCTAAGAGTTATAAATTTCCTTTTTCAAATGGTTCCATCATGAGTCATTTTCCACTTGACAGTATATATTCTAATGTATGGGGACTAGCCCCACTTTTTTTCATTAATGGTTTTAATTACTTTGTTCTCTTTATTGATTTTTTTAGCCGCTATACTTGGATCTATCCTCTTAAACACAAATTTGATGTTTCAAAAATATTTCCCATATTTAAGGCACTAGTTGAAACTCAAATTAGGCGAAAAATAAAAATTTGTTATACTAATGGTGAGGGCAAATACAGTGCTCTTCGATCCTTTTTAGCTTAACATGCCATCCCTCATTTTATCACTCTTCCATATACACTAGAACTTAATGGTATAAGTCAGCATCTAAGTTGACACATAGTTGAGACGAGTCTCACCCTTTTCCACTTTAGCTCTTCTCAATTAAGTTTTGGAACCATGTCCTCCTAACCTCAGTTTATCTCATCAACCAACTACCATCTTCCCCTTTGTCTAAATTTCACCCTTTGAAAAATTGTTTAAAATTCATCCAAACTATCTTAAGCTTCAAGTGTTTGAGTGTTTGTGTTTTTCTTGGCTTCGGCCATATAATTCCCACAAGCTTCAATTTCGATCTCGTCCATGTTTGTTTTTGGGGTACTCCACTACTATTCTTGGGTACAAATGTCTTGATTTGGCCCCAAATAAAGTTTTTTACTCTTAGCATGTTGTTTTTCATGAAAATGTTTTCCCCTTCAACATAAATCTAGCTTTTCATCACTGCTTGTTTCTGATTTCTTGGACACTTCGGATCGTTACATGTGACATGCCATCATCCTTATTCTTTCTCCTCGATGCACCTCATGAGTATATGGTCTGATGGTGTCTTCTCTATTGTCGAATATCCCTACCACACCAACCATTTCCCTTGCATCGATTGTCCCAAGTGCC